AAATAGCGATTAATTAATTATAGACATAATTAATATTTTAATAAAATAAATTCATAAACATGTGACATATACACTAATAACTCTACTGCGTAGATCTCGACGACACGAAACTAACACAACTAGAACAAATTAAAACGGAGCTAAAACGATTAAACGGCGGGGATTAACAACAGGATGGCAAAACTGTAATTACTACATCTTCAACCTCTCTATTCTTCTTCCTATCTGTCTGCTTTTGCGTGGAGTACGTACATGGCCATGGTGGTGCTGCTGTGCTCACGTGGAGAGGGCCGAGGACGGCCGGCCTGGCCGGCCAGCAGCGGCACACGGCCGCGCAGCGGCGCTAGGCCTGTCTAGGTGTGCGGGGCAGACGGCCCTCACGGACGGCCGCGGCAACACGAGGCGCCAGCGGCAGCACGGCTGCTGCGCGCACGAGTGGAAGGGGCTGCGCGCTGGGGCGCGGGACGGGCATCGCGGGGCTGCAGCGTGGGGCCTACCGGGTGGCAGCGCATGGGGTCAAGGCGCGGAACCTGAGAGGAAGGGCCGACCAGAGCTACTCCAAACAAGAAGAAAGGCTCCCATGGTGAGTTCGCCGGGGAAAAAGAGAAGGGATGGGGAAACAATGAAACGGACACGGATTCGTGAAAAGGATAGCAAGATGGTGTAGAGGAGATCGGGATCTACCTCTCAGCGGTGATGGTTTCTGCAAGGATCGCCGGAGAGGGCTGGAAAACCTCGCCGAAGGTTCGCCGGAGTTCTAGGTTTTCAAAACTTCGGCGTCCGATCTGCGGCACACGTAATGGCGGCTCACAAAATGGGCTGTACTTCTGGAATCAGCGCGTCAAGGTCTACGCCGGCATATATATATACACACAGGGTTTGGAAATTTTGGAAAGTGAAGATATTTTAGGAAATAATTGATTTTCGGAATTAAAATAATTCTAGAAAATCAGGAATTACTATTTAGGCTCCGAAAAATATCTCTGAGCTCCGAAAAATTCCATAAAAATCCTAGGGATAGATGGAAGGAAAAGGAACACAACCAAAGTGGTTTTAGCTCTCGAAAAAGACTGTTGGATTGATCGAGAAAAAAGACAGAGCTCTAAGAAATAGGAATTTAGTCCCGAAAAAGGTCGAAAAAATTCCTGCAAAGAGAGGCATCGTTCTAACGCGTCTTAAAACCTTTTCCAAGCCTTTGGATCATCTTATCTAACTTTTGTTTCTGCAAGTTTTCAAAAAAAATTTAAACCACTACTGCAACGGCATGTATGCGTAAACATGTTGCTACCCTTATGATGGATTTTAATCTAATGAAATTTTTTTATTTTCCTATATTTTATGTGCACAAAAATTCCAAATTAAATCTTTTTAGGTCCATTTCCAGAAATTCAAATTTTAGGGTGTTACAGGCCCCGATGGACTGGATGGCCGACGAGGCTAGCAGAGCATGGACAGTGGGCGGGCGCGCTCAAGATGCATCGACGCGACGACATCGTGCCCCAGAGGCACGATGATCGTGCCCACTCGGGAAAACAGGCCGAGGACATGTTGTGCACGGTTTTAAAGCTCCCACCGCGACTAAACCGCTGCTACAAAACCTAAACGGTCGTAGCTAGACTCAAGATGGTATATGAGACTACCAAATCGAGCTACAGCACTACACCACCCCTTAACTCAATTTCACAAAATAAATCGCCAAACATTGCACTGTCTTGCTGCTTATATATACTTAAATTCTTCTAAGTCCTTGAGCTGAATTTGATTTTAAGTTCCATTTTTAGGCTATTATAAATGTTGGCTAGCAATGTTATTTTTCCACAACAAGTATTTCATTGTCATCTGTGAAGTTCATATTCCAAATTCTATTTAAGCACCACATATATGTTCTATAGTACTTTTGTTCAATGAAAATTAGTTTTAAACCCTACTTGATATGCATGAGTTGTGTACTAGCTTCTCATTGAATATTTTTATAGATCATTTTAGGTTGCAATAATTCATCTATTCATTCCATCACATGCATTATCACGTAAATATGATGCTCATGACATAGTTTAGTAATTTGTTTAGAGCGTAACACCGAGGGTGTTACGTCTTTCCCCTTTTATTTTAGTTTTAGTTTCCTTTAAATAGATAAAAAATGAAGAATAAAAAATAAAATAAAAATTTATCTTTGCATTAGTTATTTATAGTAATAATGTGCGATTTAGTAAAATTAAAAACAAAATAAAAAGGTGTGTCTAGTTTATGTCAATTTTTGTTTTTAAGAGCTAAATAAAATTAAGAGAACTCAGAATAATCTCTTAAAATGGAAATGATGAATAGTTGCTCTATTGTAATTTCTTTTAGTACCTAGTTTTTTGCCTTAAATTCTCCCGAGTTTTGGATAAGATTGTTTTCATACAAAGATGTACTCTGAACTTGAAACTCGTGGAAAGCATATGCTTGATCTAAGTCTAGGTAATTGACGAGTATGATATGAGAAGGTCTGAACTGCTATTTATCTTGTTCCAAGTGATACTAAAGTTCTAGAGATTTGCTTTTTTTTTTAAAACATAAAAATGCTACATGATGAATTCCTGTACGACAAAGCTTGAATTCCTACTAGAGCCATACATGTTATTTAGACTAGAAAAACTTCCACATATATGTTGCTTGTATTGCATTGAGTTTCATCAAGCTTTGTTGACCCTTATGAGAGGTTGGTCATGCTCTTAAAATCAAGATAATGTACACACCACATATACCTGCTGCTTCTATACTGGGAGTACGCAAAAACATGTTTTCTATCTAGATCTACCCAAAAATGTTCTACTCCTACACTGGGGGTGAACACAAAAACATGCTTGTTAGATTTTCCATCCACAAAATAAATGCTCCAAAGTTCTTGTTGCTATCTCTCAAAAGTTTTGTTGCAGAAAAGAGACATGGGGCTATGCAAAAGTTATTCATAAAAAAGAAAAAAAATGGACACAAAAGTGTTCAATATATTTAAAATAATGGGTACTTAGATGCCTGCCTAAAAAAATAGAAAAAAAGAGATGAAAAAGATAGCCCCTGCTCTCCAGCAAAAGTTTTCAAAGTTTCAAAAGAGAGATAAGTTTTTAAGGAGCAAAATAGAATTAGGTTAGCCACCATATATCCACACACATGCACATCTTGATTTGATTGTATGACTCAACTCTCTTTGGATCCGTTGTTTGACTTTACAATGTATGCATTGCAAGTATGCTCTGGCTTTCTTCCTACCTATAATCTCCACATAAGCCTTAGTAGTACGAATAGAAAAAAGCATAACATCATTATTGCCTTGGTGAGGATCCACAAATACCATAAATATTGAGATACTTGAGAGTGTCATACAATGGAATCTCTGGGTTTTATTTTGAAAACTTACAAAAACTCTTGAACAATGGTAGAACAAAAAACTTCAAACATAGTGCTTGACTCGATTGTTCTGTCATTTAATTGCTCAAGACCCAAGTGAAGGCTAAAAAGCCCCATGGTTGAAGATAATATGGGTAAGTTTGAAAGTCAGATCAGTTTATTCTAATCTGAAGGAGAATTTTTGATTGAACGTATGTGTACTTTTGAGGAATGAAAATATTGTAGCAACTCCTGATCCAGTGCTGAGTTCAGCTTTGCTTACGGACTGACAAAGGTTAAGCTTGGGGAAGCTTATTGACGGTCACTAACACCAATTATAAACCATCAACATAACCTGCATATATACTTAATTCCATCACCAAACATAGGTATAGGGGTTTAAACTAACAAATTCCACAAGTTTTAGTGAATCTATGTTTTCAGTAGGGTTTACCCAGAAAACCGTCAAGTGGGACTTAATTATCAGATTACATCACGATTACCCATGACGTAAACTACTTAGGAAGGATCTAGAACACACCAAAAGGCAACCCACCGAAGCAGGCCCCGAGAGGCTAACATGTGGGGCCGGCCGGCCCCACCTGCTGGCCGGCCGGCCTGTGGGTGCTGCTGGTCAGTCTTCACTTCGACGTTGGTTCTTTCCCTGTCATTGAGGATCAATGTACGCCGTTCCTCAATGTCGGTTCAAATAGAGGGACGAGATAGAGCCATGCTATGCATTTATGGTCTCAATTTAGAATTTGGCCCATAAAGGCCCATGTGCATTTTAATGAGATATGGTGTAAAGTTTAGTACCAATGAGGCTACTAAGAGGGAGAGGGTGCCAGACGCCCCTCATAAATAGCAGCCCCTACCCCCCACCCTGGAGCCATCCCTAAAACCCTAATTCATATCTTCAGGATCGAGCCAGTAATCAAGAGAAGATTAGTCCTCCACAGGATCTAGTCTTATAAATAGAAATAGTGAGATAGAGAGTGAGGAAAGAGTTTGGAGTAAGTGTCGGCCTGTCGGTGCTCTCTCTACAGCTTGTACCTTAACGGATCCAAGTTCTAGTTGAGTTTTCTTCTGAGATTTCTCTGGTAATTAACTTCTGATTCAAGTGAGCATCTTGTTTATATTATTCATCAGGATCACGACTCTTCTGAGTGCTTTATTCTCTTCCTAGGGTGAGTAAAGTATTAATCATAAGTGTAACCGTGGTGCTTAGACTTAGGTTAATCGTAGATGCACCCTACATTTTGGATCGGTGGTAGCTCGCAAGGGTGACTCTTATAGCCCCGTTGAATCCTTTGTAGTCCACCTCCCGTTTGTAGGCCAAGTAGGACCCGGTTATAAAGGAAAGCATCCTCTGCTGTTGTCTTTTACTTAGTAACGTCCCCAGTTGAACCTTAGTTATCCTCTCTACGCTCATGTTTATCCTAACCTTGTTGCTACCCTTAGTTAAGTTATATCATAGTTAGTCTCACATGCTTCCCTGTGGATACGATATTTAGAATACTTCCGGATGAAAGCTACAACGGTATCCGTGCGCTTGCGGATTTATCTGTGTGCATTAATAAATACCAACACCATTCTTGCACAAAACAAGTTGTGTTCTAATGGGGGGATTGCAGTGCCAGCTGGTGGATTTGAGAGTCTTAAGATTCTTCGCTTGTATGCCCCACTATTGTCACTGCTGAGTTTTTCGGTAAAAGCCATGCCGAAACTTGAAAGGATTGAGCTCCAGTTTGACATGTTGGAAGGCATTTTTGGCATAGAAAACCTTGCAGGACTCAAAGAGGTGTATTTGAGATTAAACAACAAGCACGGTGAAATCATGGGCGAGAAGATAGTAAAGGATGTGAAGACTGTAGTGAGGATTATTGACGATGCCAAGAGGCCTAGGATGACCCTTGACCACTGAATCATTAAACTTGCTTCAAACCTTCTATTTTCTCTCTTTTATTCCCATTTATATAAATCTTGAAGGCGGCAAGTGACACGATGAGGAAGATTCATGAAGCCATCTGGAGGATGAAAACTAAGACCCTAGCAACTAAATTGGAAGGAAAGGCGTGTCAAGCTGGGGGGCAACAGCCCATTTTGCTTCTTCTTGCTTAGACTGGTTTGTTTGTTTTGTAAGACTTGTTGGTTGAACTATCAGTTCTCCTTAGTTAGAGTTGACGTCTGTCTGTGATCTATTCCCTTCGTTCTGTCAGGTAAGCTGAATCAGTTTGGCTGAGCAGAAAGAAAACAAAAAAAGGGCAAGTAGGGTGGTCAGTCCGTGTTTTTTGTTTCCTGAACATCTATAGTGATGCTATATTTCCGTTGCATGTTAATGGAAATGGGGAATGCCTTGATTCGGAAAAAAAAATATAGATCCTGTGCTCAATTTGTATTTGCAAGCTGCAGATGATTTGATTGACGCTTTTGTTTAAGAATTTTTTCAAAATATAAAAATTACTGTGTTTCCCTGAATATATTAAATTACTCACTATATAGGAGTATTTCCCTACATTTGTTTTTGTGGTCTTAGTATTTATTTACTTGTGTTCAATGCAACTCATTGAAATTAGCAGCCAACAATGATCATATGAATGCATGTAGATGTTTGTACTTGTGCTATACAAAACCAAACAGTCTCAATTTGTTATACATCAGCTATACTTGTTTTTCCTCAAACGAGGCAGGAGAGCTGCGTGTCATCTCAATCGGAGAGAAGTATAACATGACATGTTAAAGTAACGCAAACACCCCACTAGTTTTTTTTTCTCAAACAACGCTGGAGAATTAGCTGACATTTCAATAAAAGAGAAAAGGTACAACTAGACGTGTTAAAATAACTTGACTTAGCAAACACCACACACCCACACGTAGCCATCCATATATTATTACACTAGTACAAAAATCTTAATGGAGGCGGGCGAAAATGCTTAATGAAGGCGGGCATTACAACCGCCTCCAATCAAAGGTCACGGTTAATCGTGACTTTACGGAGGCGGTTGCCCTACCCGCCACGGTTAATTGTTTAATGGAGGTGAGCGCCTAAAGGCAACCGCCTCCGTTAATGATGATTAACGGCAGTGGTTGCCCTAAATTGCCCGTCTCTATTAAACAATTAATCGAGGCGGTCTCTATAATGCGACCGCCATAGATAAAGATTTAATGGTGGTGGTCTCTTGTTACTTGCCCGCCTCCGTTAATATTTTCCCATTTAAAAAAATAGCCTCTGCAATTTGATTTGAATTTGAATTTGAATTCTATTTTCATAAATCAAACACGTATAAAAGTAGAATCAAGACATATATAAACACATATTACGCATATCGAGCACAAACATATAACACATTCATTGGTGTCCTCCATCGTCAACCAACATCATTCAAAGTTATTGCACATGCATGATGTCAAATGTTTACATGTGAAACTAAGATCACCCCGCTATCAACTTTTGTCGGAAAAGAGGTCCGGCAACATGTAATCCTTGATTTGTAACTTGGTGCTCCAGTTTCTGATCTTCTCGAACTTTGGATCAAGCGCTAACTCTCTTTTCTTGTTGAAGAACGGTTGCCCTTCATGCGCGCACTCTGAGACAAACTTACATATGTCTGCTACTGTTTGTCTGAAGTTTTGGTCGACCTTCTCCCTTCGCCACCAATCTTATGCTGTTTTTAGCAGCCATTGAATCTGGTGCACGTCCTCAGGTACTCGCAAACGTAGAATCCACATAGAACTGAGCCATAGGGTTGTTTGGCGAATTGTACGATATATAATACACAATCATTAGAGCAGATATAGAGAGCAGTAGTAGTAGGACAGTATAGTATAGGAGGAGGAGTAGGAGTAGGTATAAGAGTAGAGTAGAGTATAGTAGAGTAGAGTAGAGTAGAGTAGAGTAGTAGTAGTAGTAGGAGTAGTAGTAGAGTAGTATTGGTATAGAAGTAGAGTAGAGTAGAGTAGAGTAGAGTAGAGTAGAGTAGAGTAGAGTAGAGTAGAGTAGAGTAGAGTAGAGTAGAGTAGAGTAGAGTAGAGTAGAGTAGTAGGAGTAGTAGGAGTAGGAGGAGGAGGAGGAGGAGGAGGAGGAGGAGGAGTAGAGTAGGAGGAGGAGGAGGAGGAGTACGAGTAGTAGTAGGAGTAGTAGTAGGAGTAGGAATAGTAGTAGGAGTAGTAGGAGTAGTAGTAGGAGGAGGAGGAGGAGGAGGAGTACGAGTACGAGTAGTAGTAGTAGTAGTAGGAGTAGTAGTAGGAGTAGGAGTAGTAGGAGTTGTAGGAGTAGTAGCAAAGAGCTGACAAGTAGTAGTAGTAGTAGGAGGAGGAGGAGGAGGAGTAGAGAGCATGCTCGATATAATAGCACAAAGGGCTTTTGATGTACTTACCGGGAACTCGCGCCTGAGTTTGAGTTTCGTGCCATTCTTCATCTTCTTCTTCTCAAATCTCCGATCATAGCAGTCGGGATCATGCATGTACTTCTTATAAGCGTTGTACGAAAAAACACTAGTGTCAATGACAATTTGAACATCTATGTTAACTATTAATGAATAAGTTCCATCACTTACTATCTCAATACACTTTCAAAGTGCTTGTAGCTTGCTTTGTATGTATCCCGCAAAGAGTCAAATATATAGGCCCTTCCATCCTGAGGATAGATTATAAACGCAATCCAGTGGCCCATGATGCCCTTGCTGCACCATTCACACAATAGAGATTTGAAATGTTCTAATATGAGAAGTTATGATCCAAGTAGCTATATATATGTTCCAAGAAGATTTTTGACTTACCCGAACTAGTGGGCGGCCATAACACACCCATTTCCCCAGACCTTCTTCATGGCTCCATAGATGTACATTCCCGCCCGATACTTATATTCAATTTCTAGATGTTTCCAGAATTTCTTTCTCTCCTTCGGGTTCAAGTTCACCAGGTCTTCATGAGTGTCCGGTATATCATAACCTACTATTGTTCTCTTTGTATTAAGCATCGGAGAGAGATAGATAATACCGTTGCCCAATTCCTTACTTACATGGGCCTGCATCCTGCAAAGTCATCATGGCATTATTAGTTTGCTCCTAAAGTACCTACAGCGATGCAGTGGTGTCAAAGTCGTAGTTAACTTACATAGCAAATAAGGTGACTTGGGCGATGTCGAGGTCCTTTCGCCGCAGTAGTCTATACATGTCATGGAAATCTATGAGGATTTCACCATCCGTGGGTGCGTGGAAGTAGTCTACCGAAATCTTGATGACGAAATCTTGGAGACCCGCTTTCGCCGCTTTGATGTACCATAGATGGAACCTCCTTACCTCCCACTTCTCCTCAAGGAGGTCGCCCAAGGTCATCATGAACTTTCCATGCTCGTAGTTGTTGGGGCAATCATCCGACAAGCCCCAAATCGACGGGGTGTTTTCGGCCTGCAACACCAGGGCTTAAGATGTTAGGGAGTGAAAAAAGCAGCTTCCATCTCCAATTGAATTATAGATTGACTATGTTCAGAAGTAGCAAACCTTTCAAACGTAGTTGAGTATGGGTGCTTGTCGGCTATTTTATAGGCTGCCCAACTCGTCTTGGTGTGGTTGCAGGGTATGGCCTCCTTTTCATCTATAGGTTTCCTCGGTGGGGGAGGACATTGGCTTGTGCCCTCGTTCAAACCACTTGCAGGCGGTGGTGTCACATTGCTTGGTGCTAGCCCTGTGCCTCCCTATGGACTGCTGTTGCCAGGAGCCGGACTGCCCGGAGGACTACTGTCTGGGCCGCTAGCATTGTCGTTGTCGCCGATGTTGTCATCGTCGCTGTTGTCATCGTCGTCGTCGTCACCTGGGTCAACAGGGGGAGACGGCTATGAGCGAGCCGACGCTGGCATCAGCACTTCCAAGACAATGTCTCCCTTATTCCATTGCATGCGCATGCCGAGAGTAGCACCAATGAATCTGCTCCCCTCTTTAGTGGGAATGTCGATTTTATCCTCATCAAGTTCTTTGTTGGTCCACGTCACGTCCACCCTAGCGTAGTTGGGCGGGATTGGCTTACTGGCGTACAAGGTGCCGCTTTTGAGTGGCAGTGCCACTCCCATGGCCGCATCCTTCTTCCTCTGTGACCTACCGAAAGGCACCTGAAGCGTGCAGCTCATAGGTTCCACGATGTCATCGACCGAGTACCTGGGGAGTCCTCCGGTCGATGGCACCATCCGCCCTTGTACGACATCTTGAACCCATGGTAGCACCACGCTAGCCTAGTCTTTGCCTCATCTTTCCCTTTCTGGATGAGCCCTTCATTGTATCTTTGCCTCATGTGGTATGTGCTTACATCAGATTGCTAGGAATCCACGATCTTCTAGCTCTTCCTTGAGGATATGCCATAGACGCGGCCGTGGTGCTCCAGGTTTCCCAGCGCCTCGGTTAGTACATCCCTCTCTCGGCAAGGTTCGAATGACCCGCCGTTCTCATCCGCAGCGACCTCCAGGATCCTCTTCTCCACCTCCTTGGTCTACGGCTTGGACCCTATCATGCCCTGGTGGTGGTGGTGGTGTTGGTTCCTCTTAGCAAGCTTGGAGAACTGCTCACTCTTGAGCTTTGCTTCTAGGGTTTGTTTTTGTCTGACGAACTATTCCCAAACTTTAGGCAAGACATAATTGTAACGGGTGAAGGGTGTCTCCCCTTTTTGCACATACTCCTTGTTGGGCATGTACCTAAAGTTTCGAAGCACTTTTCCTGCCAGGACCATGACATGCCCCCTGCACTTCACTTTATCATAGCCCTCTAGATACGTGAACCACCTCAGCATCTCGTTCCACATGTGTTCCTTGAGGTCTTCCAGGACATCCTTCCCATTTTCATATATGATAGGCACCTTCTCCTTGACTAAAATAGAGCACTGGTTGTTGAATTTGCCAAGGATCCCTGTTGGCTGCAAAGGCTCTCCCTACAGGCC